GAATTGAAGGTACTTTCTAAATCACTTATATTCAGTTTTTGTCGCCTTTTTGTATGTATTTGGTATTCCTGTATCTTTTTCAAGTTTTTTTCTGGCTATTTTGCACTCTTTTGCCCAAAACTTGTCGAGACAACAACAAATTCGACGAATGCCAAGCCGGTTAATTTTACACGTAGAACTATAGAAATCTGCTTTGTTTCTTTGGTCTATTCGTTATTGCTTTCTGGTAATTCTTTTATAGTTTTGTTTATATTTTTGGCTAAAAAGCAGTGATGAAGAGGGGAAAAACAGCGAAAGAGCAAGGCAGTGCCACAGATCACAGTGCATTATTGCGTCACAATGCACGCGCATTAACCAATCAAATCGTCTGTTATATCGCACTTATATTATAATGTTGTATAATGTATTTCCTTAAATTGTCTATTGTTTCTGGGTATAGCATACGGTATTGTTGATGTTTTAACGAGTGTGTTGTGGTATAGCGTGCTTGCTGTGTTTAGGACTTCATGTTGTCAGTGTTACTTGGTTTTGTTATACTTGTGTACTTTGAATATGGTGCATGTGATCAGTAATGCTTAATAACATATTACCACTGTAATTGCTGTTACATGGGATTGTTTATAGGTTTTTGAACTCTTATGGTGTCTTGTTTGCCATGATATCTGGTATGTTTGGGAAAAATCTTTCACGTTGCAGCAAACTGGTGGAAGAGAACTATTTGCTGAACCATTTTCGGTATGTTTCATTGTTTAATATCGCTTTTCTTTTATATTTGTTCTGACTTTGTTGAGTATAGTTTTCAATATTATATAATGTATATCTCAGCAAATGTTTTCATATACTCACATTTAAAGATACACTATATATTGTAAAAACCAAATTAGTTTGAAGTTTTCATCTTGAAACCTCAATTAAGGATTAAGGGTCAATTAAAGAAAACATGAATCTCTCGGTGGTGTTATTTAGTTTTTATTTTTAAAATGTCATTAGAAAGAAAGTTTAAAATATTGAAGTCAAGAAATGACATAGTAAAAGTATTATAATAGAGAGAAAAATGGTGAATGAGAGCGAAAAAGCGTTTCTGCACGGTGCAAGTTGCATAATATGCTGTGTATATTATTATCGAGAGTATATGCTTGAAAATAGGCTTGCCATTTTACTATGTTTCAAGGTGTTTCTTAAAACTTTATACTGGATTTTGCAGCGCAATTTTTGCGAGTTTTTGGTCTCATTGACAAGTTCTTTCAATGGTGTTTGTAGAGTTAGACTAATTACTTAGTCTACAGTATGTCATTTATATAACAATCATTCATATTTCTCTTTTTAGTGGGTACCATCGTCGTCAACAAGTGATACAGTAAGTATAGTATTATAATACGGTACATTGCAAAATTAGTTGACTTAAGATATTAGTATAAGTAATGATGTGATGACGAGTATAATTAAAGATGCTGTAAAGTCCGTAATATGGAAACAAACGTTCGGTTTACATTTTGAACTGCTATATTTGTAAAATATGATATACTAAGTGAATATCTAACATGTTCGCTATGCTTGAAAATGAACATAAACACTACGTTTCAATCCGACATTTTTTTGAAGTTGACAGGTTTTTGCTGTGCAAATTTCAGAAATATCCGCTCAAACCAACCGGAGCGTAACGCATGCATTTAAAAATCAAGCTTTATCGAAACAATTTAGTTCAGAAATTCAAATTCATATACATTACAGCAATTTCCCGGATTTTTTAACTTAAACGCCACGCCTACGTGAATTATAAATGCGACAACTGTTGACCAATGAGATTACAGAAAAAGTAGTTTGTTTTGCTATTATAGTATAAGAACATACATTGATGTAAACAATAAATTAAGAGTATATAAATAAACCTTCGCGCCACTTACGAATATGGCAAAAATATTTTAGTTAATAACTCGTTTTTAATAACGAGTTTTCAAATTGTTTAATTCCTTCAAACTCGGGAAATGTTAGAACAAAACTAAAGAGCTTCAAATCAGAACCGAAAAAAATTCTGTATATTTCAACAATTCAAAGGCGCTCTGTACCTTCAGCCTGCCGCAGACGAAAGCTTTTGGTTGAGCTAATTATTATTATAAATAGTAATCATGCACCATGCACGCGTGCATGGCAACAGCTTGGCTATAAAAGCTCGCGTGCATGTGCGCACGGTTTTTGCTGTGGAATCTGACACGAGAGACCTTGTTTGATTTTGTTCACGCGAGGCAAGATCGCAACGTGTGCGGATGTTGTGTAAGCTCAGCTGTGGATATATACTTCATATAGTAGCCAATAAAACTACGTATCTTTCTCACGTGGTACTTGATATTTGCCGCTATTTTGAAATTTAGAGCGAAGTAAAATATTAGCTTAGCACTTTACTTTATGTTTGCGATGATCATATAGAGATGAGCTAACCGGCAGGCTTTGAGCAGCGTTTATATAGGCTTTGCACAAACTCTCTGCTGCAGAACGTTGTTGATGACTGGGAAAATCTAATTTTTTCAAAACCCAATATTTTGTCGTGTTCTACAGTTCGATCAATCCGTAATATAAAACTTGAAATTTTGCATAACGGATGACTATATAGCGCGAAAAATTCAACATGGCAGTCATGCACTTATTGCTAAATGTTGTAAGAGCGAATTTATACTTTCTATTTAATCTGCTTTTTCACGCAAAGTAGGTATATTTGGAAATCTCAAACTCCTCGGAGCTGGAGACATGGCGAATTTGCTACAAAATCCTCTCAACAACCTGCGAAATTCGCCATTCGCCAACCTAAATCTGAAACGCTACATTTTTTAAACCTTGTTTTCGTTCTCTTTAAATTAAAGGAACTTGTAAGAAAAACATCTCGGAGGTATGATAAGTATAATTTTCTGTATTGTTTTAATATGTATATAAATGCAAAGCTCACTTCCCTTGTGGTCGTTTGAGCAGTATGTCACCATTACACTCCACGCATGTCTGGATGCGTTGATACCGTCGTATTATACCACATGCGCTTGGTGAGAGGAAGCTTATGTGTATAAATGCGATCATATATCAAGTATCTAGATGTGTACCAAGCTGCATTGATGAGGCGTAGAACACCGACACGTTCATGTAATTATATTTATTATATGACAATGACGTGATTTTACCAAATAAGGTCATGAGAACACGAAAAATCTGAGAGCGGATTACACGGTAAAAAGCCGTATTGCCCTCGTCTAAACAGGTTTTTCCTGGTTAGGACGAAGCGAAAATCGGACTTTTTTAAGTGACAAACCACTGTGACAAGCACACTACAGAAAAACATTAGCCGACTCCTGACTCGAATCTAATATTACAAACACTTAAACAGTAATAAAATAACGCTATAAAACTGCAGCAAGAGTAAAACAGCAAACTTGCGAACAGTTTGAGGTGTTTAGTTTTAAATTTGTTGAGCAAAATTGCAGCAAAAATGCTATAAACAAAAGCTCGAGCTTCTAAATGTATTTCAAAAACTAGTTTTTAAACGAAAACAAATGATGACAACTTACTTGAACATTTTTAAAGTAATTGGACCGTTTGGACGTGAAATATTTGGCTCGTACAAAGCCAAAGCCATGGCCAGAAATGAAGGACATGATTTATTGTACTTCCTTCGTAATTTGCATATCACGTTAAAATATGGCTTCTGCAATCTGCAGTAAACAGTAAATTATATTACACGATGCTGTAAATTGCAAAATGAGAGAATATGGTAGGTCGTTTGCAACTTGCCTTAGTCGCTGGCTATAAATCAAAGTCTGTCGCATGAATGGATTTACTGGGGGGGTGGGGTTGTGCCCCCCTAGCCTGGGCAGGGTGTGTGTGCTATTTTTCATGATAAAGCAAGAAATTATTAGAGACAAAATGAGATACAGTAATTTGAGTAATAACATGATGATAAGCGAACTGTGAACAACAATTACAATTCAAATACAGTAGTCAAGCAAGACTTTGCAGTAGTGAAGCAAGTTGATGGGCGGGCGGCACACATGACCAACACAACTCGGCACCAGAGCTGACAGAGCACCTCCCTACCAGATCATGCTGGATCCATCCCTGGTCTGTCGAAGTATTTAGCGTAATGTTGACTTGATTTTAGTTAGTGACCATTCTGCATTTTCAGTATTTGTACAGAGGTTAGTGTAGTATTTTCATAATTATGTTAATTATGTTAGGAGTAGGTATAAATGCGCATGCGTACTAGGGAGCTAGGTACTTGTAATGGTGATTGAGTCTGTTATCAATATATAGATATTTATTTTCTTTTTAATCTGTGGGAATCCTTTGGTTGTTTAAGACATCGAGTCTACATTTTGGCGACGAAGATGGCGGCTAAATTGTTAATCGGATTCGTCGGGAATAGCAGCGAGATGGGAGCGTTGACTTCGAGCGTTTGAACTACTTGCCGAAGGAAAAGGGATCACAAATCATGGGCAAAAGAAAGCTCTGTTGCTTCACACAGCCGGAATGAGCGTGCATGACATTTTCTTTACCCTACCGGAAGAAGCAGAGGAAACAGAGGGAACGAATGTTTTCGTAAAAGCGATAAGCGCGTTAAACAAGCATTTTAAACCGCAGGCTAACGTTCCATACGAGCGACTGGTATTTCGAGATACGAAACAGTCCGTATCAGAGACAGTTGAACAGTATATAACAAGATTAAGACAAAAGGCTCGTACTTGTGAATTTGGGGAGACCTGTGAAGAACAAATTCGAGATCAAGTGATCATTGGGTGTATTTCGCACAACTTGAGACCAAAGTTGTTACAAAAAGGAGGGGACTTAAACTTGACTCAGCTAAGAGATATGGCTCGTGCCATGGAGAATGCAGAAAAACAGGCTGGAGATATTGAGGGACGAAAGGGAGTAAATCGCGTTTGGAAGAAAGCAGGGAGACAGCAGGAAAGACTGGCATAGATAAAGTCAAATGCTATCCATGTGGAAGGGAAGGACACAAGTCTATGGATAAAAATTGTAAAGCATGGGGTCAAACCTGCAGGAGATGTAAAGGGAAAGATAATTTTGAACGTGTTTGTAAAAGTAAACCAAGTGGAAATTATTTCAGAAAAGAAGAGAAGCCCAAGCATGTCAGGCAAGTTGAGGACGGTGACAGGTATGCTTTTACTGTAAGAAATAGTAATGATACAAGTGCTAACATCACTGTTGATGTTGGGGGGATACCTGTGCAAATGATTATTGATTCAGGTGCAACTTGTAACATAATTGATCAGAAGTTGTGGGAGCACTTGAAATTAGAAAATATTAGATGTGAATCCACTATGTGTAAGCCAAATGTCTATCCATATGGCAGTGAGGAACCCTTACCTGTTTTGGGGAAATTTACAGCAAATGTCACTGTGGGAAAAAACAGTTTTAATATTGTCGAATTTATAGTGATCGAGGGCTCGGGACAAGCCTTGCTGGGATGAGCAACTGCTTGGGATTTAGGGGTTCTCAAATTGGGACAAAAGTACATACTATTAGTAACGGTGTTGATACAAAACAACCTCAAGGTATAGCTGAGATTTTCAACAAGTTTCCCGGGTGTTGTGAAGGAATTGGGAAAAAATTCCTATTGATGATACAGTTGAACCAATTGCTCAGCCTATGCGTCGTGTACCATACCATTTAAGGGATAAATTAAGTAAAAAGTTAGATGAACTTTTGGATTTGGATATCATTGAAGAGGTTAGTGGGCCTAGCCCATGGATGTCACCAGTCGTGGTGATCCCGAAAGGGGATGATATATGACTCTGTGTAGATATGCGTCAGGTTAATTTAAAAAAAAACTACTGTAATCGCAGATGCTAGTCCAGTTGGGTTGGGGGCTGTCCTGGTGCAAGAACAAGGGGATGAGCACAGAATGATCAATTATGCAAGCCGTACCTTAAGTGATGCGGAGTGTAGATACTCCCAAACGGAGAAAGAGGCCTTAGCAGTTGTTTGGTCTTGTGAAACGTTTCATGCATACCTTTATGGGGCTGAGTTTGAGCTTCTTACAGATCATAAGCCCCTGGAATGTGTCTTCTCGCCCAAGTCTAAGCCATGTGTTAGAATTGAGAGATGGCTTTTGAGGATGCAACCCTATCCTTTTTCGGTTACGTATTTACCAGGACCTAAGACCTGAGTCTGATACTTGTCGAGTCAGTGCAGGAGATGGATATGTCAAGTTTGTAGCTAGAGAGGCAACACCCGTTGCTATGACAACCCGTGAAATTGAGAGAGAGTCTGAACATTATCCAGAGTTACAATCTGTACGTGAATGTATTATGAGTGGTAAGTGGGATTGCCTCGTACATAAGGAATATTTGCCAGTTCGGAGAGAACTGTGTGCTATTGGACAACTGGTTTTATGTGGTACAAAGATTGTAGTACCCCAAAACCTTAGAGAGCAGATTCCTAAATTAGCGCATGAAGGACATCCTGGAATAGTAGCAATGAAACAGCGTCTTCGAAGTAAGGTATGGTGGCCGGGAATTGATAGACAAGCCGTGAAAGTTTGTCGAGAATGTTTTGGATGTCAACTAACATCGAACCCAACCAAACCTAAACCTATGGCTCGCATTTAACTTCCGAATGCACCATGGGAACACCTTGCATGTGATTTGTTAGGACCTTTACCTTCTGGGGACTACATATTTGTTGTTGTAGACTATTATAGTCGTTTTTTTTAATTAGAGTTCACCAAATCAACCACAGCCGAGAAGTTGGTTTCTATATTGTCTAGGATTTTGGTTACACATGGACTTCCCTTGTCTATTAGAATTGATGATGGACCTCAATTTATCATTGAGTGTTTGAAGAATTTCTTGGTGGAAAATGGGATTGAGCAGCAGATGACCACACCTCTGTGGCCACAAGCGAATGGGGAGACTGAACGACAGAACCGTAGTATTTTGAAAAGGCTACGTATCGCGCAGGCCGAAGGGCGGAATCTGAGATTGGAAGTACGGTAGACCGATTTCTGATGATGTATCGTAGCACACCCCACACGACTACGGGAGTGTCACCTGCAGAGCTACTGTACAGGAAGAATTATCGCACTAAACTTCCCCAACTTGGAGAATCCACTAGTGAGTAAGAGGTTAATGATCGAGATGCAGAAAGGAAAGAAAAAGGGACGATCTATGCTGTTAAGAAAAGAAATGCGGTTGAAAGTAATATCCAAGCCGGTGATAAAGTGTTGGTCAAACAGGACAAGAAAAACAAACTTTCAACTTTCTTTAATCCAGAGCCATTCAGAGTTCTACAGAAAAATGGAAACAGTATTTTAGTTGAAGCAGATACCGGGGTGCAATATAAGCGGAACATTACGCATCTCAAGAAACTGGTAACACCCGATGCAGAAGAGAATGAGATAAACACTCAAGAGTCGATATTGCAGGAGTGTTCGATAAGTGAACCAAAACTTTTGGATGGTAGGAGATTGGGTGAAGATGAAGGTGGAAGAGTTAAGCCGAGTAGAGCAAAGAGACTACCAGATAAATTGAAGGATTATGTTGTCGAAAGTAGATAAGTATTTAGATAATTATTTGCTTAGCTTATTAACATTCAAACATTAATATTTAATTAGAGACTTTACTATAATCTTTAGTTAAAGTGACATTTATTAGGAATAGACTGTCTAACAAAGGAGGGGTGTAGTATTTGCATAATTATGTTAATTATGTTAGGAGTAGGTATAAATGCGCATGCGTACTAGGGAGCTGGAAATGCTCTTCTTGTAATGGTGAGTCTTTATCAATATAGATATTTATTTTCTTTTTAATCTGTGGGAATCCTTTGGTTGTTTAAGACATCGAGTCTACAGTTAGGTTGTACGAAATTTAGCAAATTTATGTATAACAATATATAAATTCAAGTTAATGAGACAACACGTTTGTCACCTTCAAACCTAGCAGGCCTTAAAATATCTTTTCCAGGGCCGTCTGACAAAATGTCCGGTGACGTTGAGTTTGGGTCGGACATATGTCCGATGACCTTCAGTTCATTTTGGACTCGGAAATAAGTCTGTGAATAAACAAATGAATAAACGGTAAATGTTGTAAAGATATTAAATAATTTGTTTCTTTCATACTTAGGGACTGGTCATTATTTATGGCGGGGGGTGGCACCGAAGAGAAATGTTTTCCGCGTCAAAAATTTTGCTGACCCAACCATTAAAAAGACAAAAATTTGATTACCCAACCTCAAATATCAATTAAAAAATAATTACCCATCCCTGGCCAAAAACTTAACAAAAGGATACCATTCAGTTGTCATACATGTCCTTTATCACTTCAGTGACATGAGTTTGATAACGGCTTGTGCAATTTTCTGCAGTCTAAAGTTTCATGTTGTCTGCACATGTACTTTCTTTGGAAACACAATTTGTTTTGTGAAACTATGATCAAGATAGTGACTCTGATTGATTCACATATTGTATTGACAAATGACTGTTGACATTGCTTTTCAGTCTCCAATATTTCAGTGGGTCATGCTTTGGAAGTGACAATAAATTTTTATTACCCAACCCTTGAGTTGTTTTGTCTTTCATTTACCCAACCTTTTACTTACTCAAAATTTTGTTTACCCAACCGTTTTCTCTTCGGTGCCACCCCCCGCCATAAATAATGACCGGTCCCTTATTTCCAAGCCAAAATTAACTTGCTTGCCAGAACAGCAGTATCAAAAATACTTCGACAACTTAATCCCGTTTTCCACTTCACCATTTCGCTCGCCGCCCCGCGCTCGACTACGTTAAAACAACATTTCCAGTTGACCTTTTATACAATAATACTCTGATTTTCCATTTAACATACAAGCCTGCCTCTAGTCCTGGCCTCCACATTTTGATTTACGCTGGACAAAGCTACAATTCGGTCGGACACCAATACACTCGGGTCGGACAAACAATAAACCTCAGTTTCACGTAGGTCGGACAGAATGTCCGGTGGTTTCTTTTCTACGTCGGACAATTTCACGAATGGGTCTGACAATGTCGGTGACCGACCGATATTTTAAGGCCTGAAACCTAGTTATAATCTCATAGTAACAGGATAAGCTTGTCAACAGCCACAAAAAGGCGATATCCAATAGTCCAAAGTTCAAAATAATGTTTCCCTGGGCACGTGTAAACCGAATGAAAGATCATCTGACCAATCATATGTCAACAACGAACACGCAGAACAAAGGTCAATGTGATAAGGGACACGTTTGTTTCGTATTACACTTCTCAAATCAACCAAAATGTATTAAATTCGTCTATTTTATAACAACATTCCGGTGTATTATTTGTTGATCAAAAAATTCCAATGACAATTTTATTACCACCTTGAGGTTAGCCGCAGACTAAGCTTCAGATTACGCCTCAGATTCGGCGTTGGATTGGGTTTCAATCAGGCCTTTACATTAAACTGTATTCAATCGCTCAAAAGTAGAATTATAAAACTTCTTTTTCAGCTATTTCACAAAATTAATTTGACCTGGATACATTGTCAATAATTTACTGTTCAAAACTTAAGAAAGCAAGCTCATTTGTGAACGAAATTTAAGACTTTAAACTCTGCGCATATATATGTTTATGTATATTTGCGATAAATCGGCAAGATGGATATCATGAAAGATTGGTACGATAACATGTATGCCTACGCTCATGAAAATTGTATTTTGTCTACCAAATACATATTATTTTACATTTTCTGCTAATATCATGAATGCATGATTGCATGGATGTTAGATCGCAACGCTGTGGTTACGAGCACCTGAACTGCATTTTGGTCCTGCTATTTTGAATTAAAGTAATGAATAAGCTATTTTTCTGAGAGTAATGTCACATAATTCGAAAACGTTCCACCAATCATAGATGGATATTATGAAAGATTGGTATGATACCATGTATGCCTACGCTCATGAAAATTGAAAATCCTTGATCTACTATTATTTAACTGCATAATCTATTTTGTCTACCAAATACATATCCTTACAATTTCTGCTAATATCATAAATGCATGATTGGATGTTCGATCGCACCACAGTGTTTATAAGCACCTGAATGGCATTTTGGTCCTGCTATTTTGAATTAAAGTAATGAATAAGCTATTTTTCTGAGAGTAGTCACATAATTCGAGAAAGTTCCACCAATCATAATTGAAATAAAATAAGTGTAGTTAAATAAATGTTGTGCAAAGCGTATTCATGAATACATTAACTTAAAAAAAAAGAAAAAAAAAAGTGTGCCTTGATGGTGAGCTTTGTTTGTCGTGTTACCAACCCTCCAATTAAGAAATTGTAAGATAGAAGCTTTGTGGGGAAGCTGCTGGTTGTCTTGGCCCCATCCAGGTTTCCTGTATATAGCAGGTTTTTTCTGGCCTCCCTGACTATCCAGCTATAGTATGAGTGATGGTAACGCCCAAATATATATCTAACTATCATCTGGCAGCAGCTGTCTTGTATACGAATACAGCTGTGGTGGGAGTTCGTCTATCGTGAATGACGGTTACAGAAAAAGTTATTTGTAGAATTTCTTAAAATTTGGGTATGTTGTACCACTCCTCCTGTATAACAAAAATACAAAGTTTAAAAAATCGGCGCAGCCAGCATGAAAAAAAATCGATTCGACATGAGCATGATCTGCGCATGCGTGTAAATTGTAGCGTGTGATTTATTGTGATTTCAAGTTTTTGACTTACAATACATACGAAAACAGATATTTCTGACTTGTTTGACATGAAAATAAAACATTAATCTTGGAAATTTTAATAATAAAACATTATTACGTATTGTATTAAATCCAGTGTTTCTTTACATTTGTTTTTGTTGTTAAAATCGGTGTGAAACTTTTCAAAACATCGAACTACAAGTTTAACTTTTCATATAAAACAACTCATAACTGTTTTATTTGATTTAGCAGATAAAACGATACCTGTGAATTGAATTGATTGACAGGACTTATATAATTCTCATCGACAGTTCACTGCTGTTCAAGAGTTAATAGAAGACAGTATCATTTCAGTTTGACAGTTCGCAGCACAACAAGTTGAAAATTTTGAGCATTATGAAAGACAATGCTGAACATAAATACGTAAAAACACACTAAAAGATAGGCTAAACTAGTTAATAACATACGTACTGTTCGAATTCCGAAAAAAATAGGATTATAATGAAAAACTGGAGCTTTCTTTGTAGATAAAAACGCAAAAAAACTTCCCGCGGCTTGTTTCAATATTTTTGCCGAACCGACCCGAACAGTAAACACAACAGTTCCACGCGCAGGTCGCGAGGATGAAGTCTGATCTATATAAATCGCATTTTAAACTGTATTAACTGTAGGGAGCCCGGAGCCACCTTAATGAGTCTTTGGGTTGACCAGAGTTTGAGAGTATAATGTATATAATTGGTTCACTTCACCCTGAACCCATTCTCCCACAATGATTTGGCGTGTGTTTCGCTTATTCTCGGGCTGTTTTTTCACCTAACGTGCTTGAATCATTAAGTCTATTTAACTCTATATAGAAGAGTGTGTCCTTCAAGCTGAAGCGAGAAACGTGGAGAAATGGGCTGAGTTTTGGAGGCTCAAATTCAACGCCGAAAAGTGCAAAGTTCTGAGCGTTACGAGAAAACGTCATCCTCTTGTTGCTGAATACATTGTCAACGGTAAAACTTTGCAGCATGTCTCCTCCCAGAAAGACCTCGTTTGTTCAGATCTCAGATGGAACACTCATATCACGGTTAATAGAATTAGATGGTTAGGCTAGCCGGCAAACTTCAAAGGAAGCGGCAAATTATGTCGAGAACCACTTTTATTTGTGTCACGTGACGAGGAAAGGGGGTGCTTTGTGATGAGTGATTAGGAAAACATATGGGCGAGAACATAATATGCCAACAAAAGATCATATTTCAAAACGCTATAGGGCTTCTGAGATCAAGGTGGAAATTGAAACAGAAAGCCAACAAACATACGAACCTATTTTGAACGTTGGAGATGAAAATATCGAAGAAAGCGAGCGTCGTGAACAGTTTATGACCGAGGCATAAGAGGACGAAGACATTTATCGCAAGACGATGCAACCGCAGAGGATTTATACAACGTTGATGTGTCTGTTGCTCTAACGGGAATACAGTTAGACGAAACAGACGCTGAATTCACCGAAGCTATACAAGAAATTGATGGCGAGAGGGTTTTTCCTTTTAGTCAGTGAGAGATATTAGTGTGCAAGTCTATAAAAGGGAGAGACAAAACTCGTGCTGCGTTGACTATTAGAGGACGTGGTTTGATTATATTACATCGATTCAGGTCAGTTTGGCTACTGTTTCCTCCACTGATGCTTTGTTCGATGCTTTGCATGGCCACTTTACACAACATTCTGTCCAAGGAACAATCAAGATAAACTTTTAGAATGTTTTTATACGGCTTGATTCCTCGTTTGTGTGAGCAGCTATAAAATTGTGGGGACTATAAAGTAGCAAATATATTCCTGAGCATATTTGATCGGAATTTTATAAAACACTACACCAGCAAAATGTCGGCATTGTTGGAAAATGCTGTGATTTTTCGTGAAGTTCAACCCTCGAGCTCTGCACAGAAACTGTACGGAAAATATAGTTAAACTTTATTTAACAGTCGGAGCATTTTCCTACACCAGAGACTTTATTAATTTAATACTATTAAAGATGCGGTACAGTCCAATCTGTGCATGTGCACAAAGAAGCCCTCTTTTTATTTACAAACAGTTTATTTAGGTTTTTATTTCATTTTATGTTCTTGCAAAGCTTGATTGTTGTCTCTTGATAATTTCTAGAATCATGAAAATATAACTAGTTGTGAAATAAAATTCAATATTTTGGATACCGAAATGTAAACAAAGCCTTTGTTTACATACGGACTGTACCGCATCTTTAAAGTATAGCATTAATTAATGAAAGGCAGTCAACGAAAAGGCATTGAGTGATTGAGAAAGGGGATGCGATAACATATAAAACTTGATAAACTTCTTAATTGTTAAAGATTGTCAGAAGTTCAGAATACTGTTTCCATAATTCAATAATTTTATCATATATTATACAATAATTATTGTATATTGTTTTTAATTAAACCTTCTTGGCTGGTCGAAATAGAAGTGATTTGATTATGGTAATCTGCCACCATTCAGTACAGCCCTGCCCCACAGTAGGCGGATCACACCACACTAAGGGGACGATTACATGGAGCACTTTTAACCACAGGTTTGAACTCAACCATGTTTACATAACTGGGTTGAATATTTTGCGATTACATGGACAATCTCATCCCCAGGGTTGAAATACTATACATTCCTGGAAGTGAAAACAAAAACCAGCCTCATCAAATGCTTGAGTAACTCATGAATAATTTCAGCCCTGGGTTGAAACGATTACATGATAAAATTTTCAACCCAAGGCGAAGTCCAACCTGGGGTTGAAATTTAACTCTGCTAGCTGAAGCGGGGTTGAACTTGGCCCTGAATTGAACATTTTGAAATCATGCATGTGATTTTGATAGCATTTTGTATTACAGACAAGGGCGAGGGTTCAGCCCAGGCCTCTGTAGACAAACTCACAATCCGAGTGTTGTTTTGCGATAAATGTATTTCTAACTAAAAAACTTTTACAACAACAACATGTTATATGTCATGCAAATTTGAATAAATCTAAATAACCTAAATTATCTATTGTCCTAAATTGAATATAAACCAACTAATGTCAAAAACACTATTAATTAACGACCTATTAATGACAGCCTCGTAGGTCCCAACTGTAGGCCTGTAGGTCCCAACTGTAGATCTGTAGGAGACAACCCCAGGGTTGAAAATGCTCCATGTAATCAGCCCCTAATTAACCCATTAAAACTTTGATGTACCCTGATTTGACTTTATTTCTGTTGAATACCAGATAATATAATATCATGGCCTTTAATTCACCAATCTTGGTATGAAAATCGAGTGACCACAAAAAATATTTACATGCAATATACCACTTTTGGAACAAAACAACTTAAACAAGCATAGACCATTTTCATATGATAGTGAAAAACTTAAAGATTTTTTTGCATTTTAAATTGCTTTTTGAGCCTTGGACCTCCTAGGTTATCTTGAATTTCTTCTACTTTCCATATTTGCATATTATCTAAATCTGCCATCAGTTTTAATGTCAATACTGGACACACCAGCCACCTCGCCAGCCACTGAACTAACGTGTGTAATTCGAAGCTTGTAGGTTGTTTATCTGGTATTTATACGTTGAGAATGCGACGCTCAGCCTTGGGAACTTCGTGTTTATTGTAGACGCTACCAGTTATAAAATCTTTCGTTTGGGGTCTACAGAAGAGAGATATTTAATAGACATGGGATATGTAAATATGCAAATACAATGCCCTCTTTGTTTACATCTGATCACACAAGCGCATGCATAAAATGCAAAATTTACAATGGCTTCAAATGACGCTCAGTCGTCACAAAGGAAAATCTTATTTGTTTCTGAAGATCTACCGTCTTTTCTCTAGTCCTTTAAAACAATTCGAAGCCATTCTTCGCGAGCATTTCTCTTCTTGTTCACCATCGGCTGTAGTCTCCTACGCAGACTTCATCGGCTGCGCCAACAACAGGGATTTTAAAAATTGCAAATTCACGCGTTCTGCTGGTCGGACAGCCATACAAAGCACAATTAGAGCCAACCATACTGTTCAATATTACTTCAAACGTTTAACCGTATCCTGACATATTAAAACAACGGCAAAAATACAATTATCCAAACGCGGTGTATAAACAAAGCCTTCGTCCCCTCGATCATAAACTGTTCACGGCGCTCGCTTTCTTCGATATTTTTATCTCCAACGTTCAAAATAGGTTCGTATGTTTGTCCGCTTTCTGTTTCAATTTCCATCTTGATCTCAGAAGCCCTCTAGCGCTTTGAAATATGATCTTTTGTTGGCATATTATGTTCTCACTCATATGTTTTCCTAATCACTCATCACAAAGCACACCCTTTCCTCGTCACGTGACCAAAAATAAAAATGAACAATAACATATTTGTCACGTGGTCCAGCTAGCCTAACCATCTAATTCTATTAACCGTGGTTACACAGTTTATATGCACATGCAGGGCCTTTTTTAACATACAAGCTGGGGGGGCATTTGCCCCCCCCAGTCCCCCCTTGTGCCCCCCCACGAAATCACATTTTGCCCCCCCAGGAAAAGTCCCTTTTTCCTAAAATTATATAAACAATCCAGCGAAGATTAACAAATAGATAAACGGAAAGTAAGTTTTAGGCTTTATCCTTTGTTCTTGTTTAACAAATATTTTAACAAATAAAACAATATTTTTTTTTTTTTTGGATGCTCAGAATGCAGGAAATAGCATTTCACGGTTTCAAATTTCAAAAATTTTCTTGGGATTATCCCTCTAATAAGTAATGATAAATTATAGTTAATATTCTTTTTTACTTTTAATTTTGTACATTTTTCCATCTTTTATTTCAAATACAACTATAGTTAGCATAGATTTTAGAGCAAATTTGGATGCTCAGAATGCAGGAAATGGCATTTCCGTGGTTCACATTTCAAAAATTTTTTGGGGGAATACATCCCCACACACCTGACCATTGCTATCCTCCTCTAATAAGTAACGATAAATGATGGTTAATTTTTTTACTTTTTGTGCGTTTCTTCCTTTATTTATTTCAAATACAAGTATGGTTAGCCAGTTAGGATAAATTTTGGAGCAAATTTGGATGCTCAGAATGCAGGAAATGACATTTCCGGGAGTCAAATTTCAAAAATTTTCTGGGGAGTACA